GATATGATAATTCTTTTTTTCCTTTTAATTGCCAATTTTCAATATAAATAATTGGTTCCTGGATAACAGGGAACCTCTCTCTCTCTCTCTCTCTCTCTCTCTCTCTCTCGCTCTCTCTCTCTCTCTCTCACTCTCTCTCTCTCTCTTCCCCCCCCTCTCTCTCTTTCTCCCTCTCTCTCTCTCTCTCTCTCGCTCTCTCTCTCTCTCTCTCACTCTCTCTCTCTCTCTTCCCCCCCCTCTCTCTCTTTCTCCCTCTCTCTCTCTCTCTCTCTCTCTCTCTCTCTCTCTCTCTCTCATTCTCTCTCTCTCTCTCCCCCCTCCTCTCTTTCTTTCTCCCTGTCTCTCACTCTCTCTTGGAAATTCAGAAGGTTTTTAAACATTTTTTTAGTTTTTAATTGACACATAATAACTGTACATACTTAGGAGATACAGTGGCCCCTTTGTGTTGGCTCCTGTTAGTCTTTAATATCTTTTTTCTTTCTAACCTAACAAATCCCAGGGAGAAATTTTCAATGACAGAGTAATGAAACTGTCTATAATATATGTTGAAATTTTGATAAACCAAAAAGCAAGCAAGCAAGAAACCATATTCGTTGAAAAAGTAAATAAAAAAGACTAACAAAAGTGCCAAGTAGTTAATTTTTTTCTGGGTAATGCAGTTATGGGAAAATATAATCCCTTTATTTTTTTCTTTACTTCTTTACACTATTCTGCACTCTAAATTTCCCACGAAGATAATTATTACTTTTTATAATAAAAAAATTAAGTTAAAATTTTAACAATCTCAACAGATTTTCTTTAATTGTGCAAGATATTTTTAGTGTATTTAAAATAAGATCCGAATTATTTTAAAGGTAGTTAAACACATGTTTTTTCAGAACTATAAGTGGGTAATCATACAATTAACTATATCTCATGTTCTCAGAGAGCTTGTAATGTAAAGAGAGAGGAAAATAGATTTAAAAATTAATTTGTTTAATAACATCCAGGCTACAAAATTATAAGTTGTCTGTTTCTCCCATCTGTCTTTGTAGACTTTAGAATCTTATTTTTTCCTTAACAGTAATTTGGAGACTATTCAGTAGGTATATTTCTCACAATACTTTAGATAGGCCACAACTTCCAGAGGTTCCTGGATCTGTGAATAATTCATTCTATTACCCTTAATTCTGTGTGTTGACAAATTCTAAGCAAATAAACAAGAAAACAACAAAAGAACCTATTTCTTAATATAAATTGATGAGGAAATGTAAATTAGTCTCCTTCACTGTAGCAGGTGGTCATTTAGATGTGGCCTTGATGAAGGTCACTTTTACCTGAGTTCCTCCAGGGGCTGTCCTGGACTGTCTAAGTGGGATTTAAAATTGTTGACTCCAAAAGGAAATCATCCCAAATGTTCAAATGGATCACACTGTGTAAAACATGTAAAGTGGTCCTGTTTCTTTTTAAAGTTATACTTCCATGAATAACAGAGAAAGAATAGAGACCGAAATGTAAAAGCTCAACGATGGAAGAACTCCGTGTGTCTGTATGTATGAACATGTTTTAAATTACTCTCTTTCCAATAGACCAATGATCCTCTACATCCTTTTTCTAAAGCCTTGGAGCAAGGCTTCCTTTATGGCAAAACCAGACTGAAATGTTCTTACATTTCTTAGGCATTCTTCTGGAAATTTGAAACATCCAACATTTTTTAGGTAGATCATTCAGGATTTGTGCCATTTTCTACCCAGAAACAATTTTCTCATGGTGTCATATTAGAAATTGTTGTCACTGATAATTTCTTTATATTAACATAACTTATAAAAGCTAGCATTATAAATATCATGTTTATAAGTATATAGATTCTATAGGGCAAATTTAGCCATCAGGGTAGCGGCAGGAAACAGAAGGCACACTCAACACTCAAGAAGCTTAACTGAAGCAGGTTTAATAAATAATTCTCTTTAATATGTGCATGATTCACATGTAGTTTACCAGATAGTAAGATTAGATATGAACAACTGAAGAACATCAGCTTGGCTTCACTATTCTTAGAAGCTCAAATGTGAACTAAGAATATTTTATATAGTATTTTGTAAAAGAGGGTTATCTTCATCCAGACTGGTGGTCAACTTCTAATGAGGCCATGAAGAGAAAGAGAGGGGAGTGGGAAAGCAGGGAAGGAGTGTAAACAAAACGTGTTGAAAGATGATCACTTCTTCTGTGCAACACACAGGAAAATACCTCAGGGGCCACAGGTGACCAGATTACTCTGGCACATGAAGCTCTAGGACTTTGCTGGGTCTTACTTTGCATAATTTAAAGTGTGCCCTCTGTCATAGGAAAATGAATGGTCCTGCCCTTTCCAAACTAGATTCCTTTATTAGTGTTGGTTGGTTGCATTAAACAAAACAGGCCAATGTTCCAGGCTTTTCTGATAACTCACTGATTTTCTTGGGTATAGTTTTATTTTAACAGACTTGACAATTTACAAGAACTGTGCATGGTGGGTGATGTACATCCAACTCCTTTTGGCTTATTTATAAGCTCCATCAACGTAGGTACTGGGTACAATGCCTGTGGGCTGATCCAGTACCAGGACTTGATATACATTCTTTTGACCAATGAAAGACCATTCCAATTTTTCCCCCCCCAATATGAAGCACAATAGTGCACAGTTAAGAGATGTTTGGGTAGTGATTCAAATGCTCTAAGAGGTACCTAAAGTTCAAGATTTATTTGGGTGTTTATTTTCTTATTCCTTGCCCCTAGAGATATAAATATTGATGTGAGGCACATATGCCAGGTGAAAAATTGCTACTACCTTTCCATATCACAACCACTCTAAATAATTTCAGTTCCCAAGTCTTAACCAGACGCTAGCACCTAGTCCTTGAAATTGCTAGTACTGAAAACATGGTGTGCACATATCCTTTCTCATCTGACTCCAGCAAAATAGTTATAGATCCAAACAAAACACATTTGCTTTATATTTATTTAAAGTATAATTTTGGCTGTGTTTCTCCATACAGTTTCTTTGTACTAGAAATTGTTTAATTTTATCTCTTTGAGTCAGAGTTTTCAAGAAAAATGACTTTTTTAGGGTAGACATTTTGAAGCATGCATCTTTATTTATTTGAGCCATCTCTCTTTCAAAAGAAGTAATTTATGGAACCTACTCATAAGGAAATAATTTTAAAGGCAATATTTGATTTTGAAGGAGTAGACCTCATTTATTTGAGTTTATCTGCTTTGGGATAGGAATCCAGAAAGAAAGACTCTGCTGAGGCGATGTGCAGACCTGTTGAGCCTTGTGGAATTGCTGGAATCTGGCTAAGTAATTAGCAGCTTTGCACCTTTAGAGAGGAGCTCAGATTTCTTTGGTTGGAAGCATGGGACGTGCAAATGTGAGAGAAAGGCAGGGACAGTAAGTGATGAAATTAGCTGAGCAGTGGCAGCCAAGAGTGGTCCTCATCACTCTGTAATTAAGGCCAGGGTTTCTTCAGGAGTTCAGGAAGAATTCAGCATGGATTAGCTTTGCATCTCATGAATATTCATAATAAAAAAGGGAGAAAAATAGTGAAAATAAAAAAACCTTATGACTATCAAAAAAAAAAAAAAGAAAAGTGAAGACGGCATATGTGAAGAGTATACTAAAAAACATTCACTTCCAGAAATGAACCATGAAGGTCCTATGTCCAAAAGTCAAAAAAGGATATCAAGTGAAATAAATCGTTTTATTAGTGCCGAGTTCTCTTTGTTCCGGGAACTGGGATATTTCATCATAAAAAATGAAATAAAGGTCAAAAATGATGCAATGGCAATTCTTTTTTACACAGATACTAGTCATCTTAATTTAGACAATCAGTCATTTTATTCAGGTCTACTTCTGTTTCTATCTTTATTCAAGCTATAGAGTTTTAAGATAGCCCTTAATAGATGGCAAATTATTTTAGTTCCCTTAAAGTCCTAGAAGTTATTAGTAATAAAAGTCTTATTCATTCTTTTGTCTAATTAGTTACTAAAGTGACTCTGGCATCAAAATATTTCTATATAGTAGAGAATTACTTAGTAATGAAAATTTACTACTAGCTGTTCAGTTTGAGTAGACCGTTTTTAAGTAATATTGATTTGACTTTACATTCCAATTCTTTAGACACAATTCTTCTCATCAAAGTATAAATGAACTAACCATCCATAATAAATATTTTAATAAATATGGAAAGCATTTATAGAAGTCAACAGTATGACTTTCCCATTTGCTTAATAAGCGTCTACACAGGTCACTTCATATCATGCATATTAACTTGAAATAATGACCCTTGTAATATTCTGTAACTGTAAAGTTAAGGGAACATTTCTACTTTGAATATCAGTTTTCATTTACCAGTTTACTCCAGACAGCAATATACCTGATTGATGTATTTTTGGTTGAGTGTGTATGATAAAACTGGATCACTTCCTTCTGCTTCCTTGAACTCCTAAAGCCAAATGTCTTATCTATCAAACTCTATTAACCGATTGGCAGGCCAACTGATCAAAAACTGGGTGTGGTCAATAATATTCAAGTAAGTTTATTTTCCTAACATAAACAACTCTGAAAAGGTCACATTAGTGATCCTGAGTTGTTCTGGTGAACATTTTATTACTAATATTATACATAAATCTATGGATGGATATGACCCAAAATTATACTACATGAACTGTTAAAACAGACATATCTTTTAAGTTTTGACAAGATGAACATTACAGAAATATTTGTGATCAAAAAGTTTGTGAAGTTTTGCCTTAAAATATTCTCTCAACATAGTTGGTATTTTCTTGGGTAAGATGAGTGGCCAAAATACAGAGAAATAAAAGGAAAGTCATCCACAGCAGTTAACCTGGGGCCTCATAAGCAGAGTAGGTGTGTGAGCGCATGTGTGCGTGTGTGTGCGTGCATGGCACGCTGCGTGGCTTATCTGTACCATCACTGATTTCCTCGTCATCATTAACCACTTATCAATTTCTGTCTTCTAGATGACACAGGATGTCCTAGCAGCCAGTCAGTATCTCCTGTGAAGACGCCCTCAGATGCTGGGAACAGCCCCACTGGCTTTTGTCCTGGAAGTGATGAAGACTTCACCAGAAAGAAATGCACGATTGGAATGGTTGGTGAGGGAAGCATCCAGTCAGCTCGATATAAGAAGGAATCAAAGTCAGGCCTTGTAAAGCCAGGTCAGTGTACTTACTCTCCATGCATTTACCAGAGCAATATGGCTGGAGTGATTTCACATTTGAAACAGAACACCTGTCTATCAAGTCAGAGGTCACTAGTATTGTACCCAGTACCCAGACACATCAGCTTTGGGGGTGGGGGGATAGGAAGCTGGCCAATATGGGGATCCAAACCCTTGACCTTGGTGTTATAACATCACACTCTAACCAACTGAGCTAAACAGCCAGCCCAAAAACATCATTTTTAAAGGAGGTGGATTAAACACTTCCAGGTAAATAAATAAATAAATAAATAAATAAATAAATAAATAAATAAATAAATAAATAAATAAATAAATAAATAAATAAATAAATAAATAAATAAAGGAGGTGGGAAGGAGAGTGGAATATTTTCTGTAATGGTATTCATTATGAACAAATTTTTAAAAAGAACAAAGTTGAAGAAATACAAGCTGGGTGACCTAACAGATTTAATTCTAGCTTAAATTATACTAAGACATTACTTGGTCACCTAAATCAGCCACAATTTATAAAAAGAATAGGTTATCTTGATGCCAATCTATGAAGTTGGTCATACTTGCTAACTTAGTTATTTTCTTCTAGAGATTTAAATATGAATATGTTGTTACATGTATATATACGTATAGATGTTCAATAATTAAAAAATATTAGGAGATAAAAGATGAAATGGAGATAATTATTGCAATGAATGAAATGTCACAAGCATCAGAAAAGGTCAATTCTCAGAATCTACAGTATGTAAATAAATATTTTGTATCCCAGAAATATACATACAGTATATAAACAAATATAATTTTTAAAAATCTAAAGTGATAACTTTAAAGTAAAAGAACATTAGCATTGGCATGGGGAGACAACCTCCCAATATTTCATCCTTTATTTTAACATTCACAGTTATACTATGCATACGAATATTTATAAGCCTGAAAAGACAGATTAACGGGTTGCACAAGTTCTCATCCCTTACATTTCTTTTCTAGTTTTTGTTTGGTGATAACATTACTATTCAAGGAGCTACAGGTGGTTTTGTTTTGAGGGGGCCAAGGGTTGGTCCTGTGTCCTCTTCTGTTGAATGCTAGCATCTCTGTCTGCTTTTGTTCTTCCTGAATAATTGATGTACACAGTGTATCATAATGAATTATTCTTCATCTTGTTTTTTGTCAACCAAACAGAATGTCATTTCATCTCAAAGCAAAACTTAAACTATGTGAAAAAGAAGTCATCTCAAAGCAAAACTTCAACTATGTGAAAAGGAAATCCTTTGTCTCCTAATGGAACCAGATAAATGTTAGTCATGATGAATTTGCTAATAGTTTTTTGCTTTGGAATAATATGAGAAAGAAAGGGAATGATACACAATGGGGAAGTAAGGACAACATAGAAAAGAGGAAGATGGGGATTGTGCAGCTAGTATTGGGTACGCTCAATGTTTAAGAGAGCACAATGAGTTAAATTCACACAATTATAGCCAAGAAATAAAACCATTACGTAATGTGCTCTACCCAAGGACCAGGACTGCCACTCTCCCTCCTCCAACTCAGTTGTCATTTTTTTTAATTGAGATATAATTCACATACCATAAATTCACCCCTTTAAAGTACACAGTTTAGTGGTTTTTAGTCTGTTCAAACTGTTGTGCCAACATCACCGTTATCCAATTCCAAAAAATTTTTATCACCCCCCAAAAGGAACCCCATGCCCGTTAGCAGTCCCTCTCCATGCCCCCTTACCTCCAGTCCCTGGCAAGTACTAATTTACTCACTGTCTGTATGGATTTGCCTATTCCAGATATCTCACACAAATGGAATTATACACTATGTGGCCTTTTGTGTTTGGCTTCTTTCACTTGTAATAATGTTTTCAGGGTATATCCATGTAGCATGTATCAGTACTTCATTCCTTTTTATTCCTTTTTATGGTTGAATAACTTTCTGTTGTATGAATTTAACACACTTTAAAATAATTTTTTTTTTTTTAGCAATTTTAGGTGTATTAAAAAAATTGGGTGGAGAGTATAGAGTTCCCATATACCCCTCACCATTACTACTTGCAGCTTCCCCTATTGTTAACATCTTGCCTTAGTGCAAATGGATAAACAAAACAACCACATTTTGT